AATCATCTGTTCCAAAGCGTATGAAGTATTTCTTCCGTAATCTCCTTGCAGGACCCAAATCATCACCTGAACAAGAGAATTCCCGGGAGATCCTCTCTGTTATTTAGGTGGCCTTGCTAAATATGACTTCTATTTACAGTTGCAGCCCTGGATAACCTGGATCATAATCCCACATCACGTACTGCAACCTCATCCTTCCATGGAACTGGCATTTAACTTTTTCAGTTTCCTACAACACAGAAGCCTGGGTTGGACCAAGAATGTCTACAAATCAACTCACAGAAAACAGAAGCAGGCAGCAGTGGACCAATCCTGCCTTGCTCGTATACAGGTCCATGGTGCCTGTCCCCAACCCCACTGATAGTGGATAGAAGGAAGAGGACGGAAAGCTGCTTCCCATTTGGACCACGCTGCCCCTTGCCAAAGATGTATTGAATCTGGATGTGAAGTGCACTTGTAAAAGTAATTGTTCAAGTAGGCCTACCAGCTCTTGGTGCAAGTGCATGAAAGCAAAGTTGAAGTGTAGACGTCTGTGCAAGTGCAAGTGTGAGAACTAGTTGGAACATAGTCATTTCAAGTACTGCCATGTATATGGGATTTGTTAGTCAATTTAACTATTGAACAAGGAGTTATTCAAGCAAATGTTTAAGCTGTTACTCACCACCTTTTTGTGGTACAGTTGAAAGATTATTAAAAATAATACTGTATTGTAGAGTCTGTGACTCCGTGTGATTTTAACGATTATTAAAAAACCACCTGTTTTACATCACCGGGCCTATGATTTTCTGTCTATTTTTGAAGTTATGCTCTGATACTGAACAAAATATGGCTTATATCGGCCATATGCTAGAAATATCAGTTGCTACTCCTGATCCTGAATCAATACTTATTATGTTCAGATCGGATAATCTGATCAAAAGTTATAACAGTTACCATATTCTGTTAAGACTGGTGGTGGGTCGGGAGCCGTCAACGCCCCCTAGAGGGCTATTTGTTGATTGGCTTGCTTGACCCTCAAACTAAAATTGTTCTATAGACCCTTACAATCAATTTAGAAGTGAAAACAAAACTTTTGCATCAATTTGAAATGAAAATGAGAAATTACCCATACACGGAACCCCACTATAATGGCATTTGCAAGAATCCACCAGGCTTGAACGAAAACAACCATTCAGAGCCAAGAAAGATAATTGATTGTTGTGTATCATTACCAGATGATCAAATACCAACCCTGTGCATGAGACTCAATCATTAACTATGTTCAAGCCTCCAACCCAAAGCGTCTTGATATCTTTCTTGGCTCTGATTGGTTCTTCTTTTGGGTACAATAGATGTTTCCAAGCAAATATTGATATATGTGATTGTTTGCAATTAAATCAGCATATATTTCTGCCACCCCTTAAAGTCTCCATGCCATGAATATTTCTGTAAATCTGCCTCTGTTTGTAGAAGTTTAATTTAATGGTCTTGCTCAGCTGCCTTCCACCACAACCTGACACTGAAGGTGAAAACTCTTCAAGTCATAATCACAGTTAAACTATCGCTCTTTAAAAAGAGGACTTGAGCATTTTCCTCAAAAAAGTAAATAGCACTGCCATCAACGCAATTTGAGCTGAACCAATATTCAAAAGTGGGTTTGGCACTTTGACTGGATCTTTTAAGGACCGGGGGACATTTAGTTGCACTAATAATATGTTTTCACCACAGTTGGTTAATTTCCAAGGCAATAAGGCTAATGCAAGTGCAATGTGACTGACATTTTGATTCAATAATTGCAAGTCAGCTGGGGGATTCAGAAGGGGAGAGTGTACTTGAAATACAGACACCCTGTCAAAGTTTTTTTTTTTAAAAGCATGCTGCAAGTTTGTCCTTCCATTACACCCGCTGTCTGCCGAACAAAGACCATGAACATTTGGGAGCAAGCATGTAAATAAACTGTAAGAGTGTTTGCAAATCCCCAAGCCTTTTTTCATTCAGGTCTGTGGCTTAATGCATTAAACATTCTTTAAAGGAGGCTTTTAAGGTTGGCTGAGAAGATATTTCTGAGACGCAGTTTAAGATTTTCTTAAGAAGCGTTTGAAGGGACAATAGCATTTTCTCTGTTTTCCAGCTGGTGTCCTGGTTGTTCAATGCCAAGTTCAGATACAGACTGTCATGTGGGGATGAGACGACTCGCATCTGTGTGTTTCACCCCCCCGAGCAGACGAGACCACACATCTCTGACAGCGCAAAGCCCATGGGAGCACACACTCTCTCTCTGAGACACCCTCATTTCACTTGCACGGCACGCACGTACTGTATGCAACAAATATGCACCCAAATGGACATACGCACACGATCACACACAGATCTAGCTTTAATGTGTGGTGTGCAGCCACATGGCAAGAATCCATTTTCATCTTATTCAACATTGCCCTCTCCCTGGCACTGCAATCTTGCTTGGCCTGAACCATATGTTCTCAGTCTTAGTAGGAGGATCCCTTGGGCATGTGGCACATCTTCTTCCCACAAGAAACCATCCAAAGGTCCCTGGTGCACGGCTGGCTTGCTCAAAGGGACTCGTAGGGGTAGCGAGGCTCAGCCAGAGGTGGAAAGGTCTTGAAAGTCTGCAGGCCTCAGAGCTTCACGAGGACATGAGTACACTGGTTCTTTTCCAATATGAGCAGAGACTCAGTTTCTACTGATGATTGCTGATGCCTGTCAGAGGAGTCGAAGCCACGCCTCCCACATCCCCTCCCAGCCAAGTGACTCAAGTCAAGCTTGTCAGGTTGCTTTAAATAAGCATTAGCATGTTGCGTGGAGGGGAATGCTAACGAGAGACGTCGATTCTAATGAGGAAGAGCAGCAGTCATTTAGTCAGAAAACAGTCAGGAAAACAGTACAGCATACAACACATGGACTGATGTATGAAAAAAGCATCTATTATGTAAAAGGATGTCTCCCCACTGTGGTCAGGTCAAGTGTGTAACAGATAAATAATAATTACATGTGTGTTTTTTCTTCCTTTTGCTTGACCAATTTCTTCACACCTCTCCGAGGTAAATATCACTCGTGGATTTTACCAGATGGTTGAGTGTAAAAAACTAATTTTCCCCCCCAGTTAAGTTTATTACCTCTCATCTCTCTTGCAACTTCACACCCCCAGCTGTCTCTCTGCAACAGAGTTGTGATCCTCCACTCTGGAGTGGAGTATCACAGCTGACCACTGATCCCGTCATGGCAGACTTGGCCTTCATGTCTTGTGATTCGCTCTGAGGACTTGCACAGTGCTTATCAAAGTGCCCCGCCTGCTGATTATCTCTCCAAAAGAGCAGAGACTAAAGCTGGGAACACAGAGACTGTTGGATCAGGCTTTTCCACAGGGGCACGGATGGCCGTGTGCTCCATCAAGAGAAAAACTAAGTTTCAAAGTGGCATACACAGCATCAGTTAGACAGTGCTAATTATGCAAAGCACTGCCTCCCAACATGTTAATCTATTACTCCCAAAACCGTGTAGTGTTTTTCTAACTGGTGTTGGAGAGAATTCAATTGACTTTTAATGCAATTAGTTATTTTGTCACGGGCCTTAAGAAGGATGTAGTTTTTGTTTGACATAACAAAAGGGAAAACAGCATTGTTTTCTTTTCATTAAATTCATTTTGACATTTCACTGAACTGGAATATGAGACTGAAGCAGGGTAAGCAGGCAGATTACAAGTACAAATATGGTCTGACAAGAAAAAACAACAAATGTTCAAACATAGAATTACAGCAACTTCAAAATGTACAATAAATAATCTACCTGTTAAACTCATCTGCACTTCCTGCACTGTAAAAACTATACATAATGTTTCACTGTGAAGCAGCTGCAGGACATGTTAAGTTTGCATTAACAACATATTAACTACAGTGTCAACTACTCTAAGAAATATTATTTAATATGTTTGCTAAAACTCCTACAAAACATCCCTCAAAGGGACCTTTATTTTGCATTAATTCTGGTGATCCCTGTGGACAAAAACGGTAGTGCTTCTACTGCCTCGTTTCATTTAATTCAAAGGGAATCCCAGTTGGCAAGCATTTAGAATAACCATATCGAAATAGTCAATTTTCTCACTGATAGTCATTGGCGTATTTATGAAGGTCTTACAGAAGCAGTATTAAATTGTTTCATAACCAATTAAAAACTTTGATTCATGTTTCATCGCTTATGCATGCCTGGCTTGCAGGACATCGTTCTCTGCAGTCACGTCCTCCCGCTTTTCCAGGTGCAATCCTAAGCCAGAAAGTAATTCCTCTCGATGTTCTGGGTCTGCTCCTTGGTCTTCCCGCAGTTGGATGTGCAAGAATACCTTCACAGAGAGGGTCCAGGAGGCTTCCTGATCAGATGCTTAACTGGCATCTTTCAACACAAAGCAGTGTTTCTACTCTGAGCTCCCTCCAGATGTCTTAGTTCTTGACCCTGTCTTAACATGAATTGTTTGAAGTTTTGGGGAAAACTAGGTGCTAAGCTAAACTAACCGGTTGCTACTCTTAACAAAAAAAAGTGTAAGTCTATTTCCTAAAATGTCAAAGTATGGCTACAAGGGAGAGCTCAGATTCTATGTAAGGAAAACTCATTTTGTCCGCTTGTATCCGTGATCGCATTCTTCTGCTCATCACTTAAAGCTCATGTCCATAGCTGCCAGTTAGAAAGGATGAAAGTTGAAAAGTAGTTCAGCCGGTATTTTGAGATTTAGGCTCAGCTCCCTCTTCGCAACAACGCTCAAGTCAAGCGTCCGCATCTGATGCGTCACCAACACATCTGTTGATCTTGTGTTCCATCTTGCCCTCACTGAGATACTTGAACTGCTTCACTTTTGATCCTGGTATTAGACCAGGATCTTAAGGGGCAATTAAACAAAAGTGATACTCTCTGATGTCAGTAAAGATTCTGCCGCTGTGGAGAATTCATTACTGACTTTGATTGACTTATACAATGATTGTTGTGATTGATGGTTGAATTCCCTCTCTTTACAGGTGATCCTGATTTTAACCAAGCTGTACGACTTTCATATTGGCAGCGTGACTGAGAGCACTCTTTGGAGGTGAGTTGAAAGGAGTTTTTCGTTCATAAAATATTCACAAGTAGATGTCTTTGAATCCTGTAATGCTGCTCGAGAGGTGCCAAGGGGTAGAATTAGCCTTATACGAAGATCCTGTGATGGCCTTGATGTTTTGGGTAATTGATCAGTCAGGTTAATATATTTTCCTGTGACTGACAACTAACAGAATCTGACTTTACCCACTGTATAAACCCTTAAAAAAAGATTCTAGGACTTCTTCATCTCGGTTTTGCCCACTCATTCGTCTCTTATCCTGACTGTCTGCAACCACTCTGTGTCCTTTCCTCACCCGCTCCTCTGGTGCTGTGAACGGTTATGTTCTTGTGTCATGCACGGTCAGACAGGACACTCTGGGTGAAGGATGCTGTTTGCCATGCTCTTGTTCTGGTGTATTATCTGATGTACTCCCCTTCCTCACCCCTCCCGGGAATAAAATAAACACACATACACATGAACACACACCCCTGAAACTACAAGAGTGCTTGTAAAGAGTAAAAATACACTAGCAAAAGGATGGGTAACACATCCCTGATGAGTTGAAACTGTATGTAACCCATTTTCAAATCTGGATGGATTGTGTAACACACACAGAGTTATTCATTTGTCTGAGTTTTAGGATGCCACACACGACAGCATGCTCCTGGACAATATTTGGCCAGGTTTTTTGTGGGGAAATGGCGTACTTTAGGGAAATGGGTTGTCGCAGGTCAATTAACAAAACGCCAAACCCTCCCTGAAACAGAGAGTGTCCAGTCATATAGCTGAGCAACTGTAACTACGCACAGTTGTTCTGTCAAGCCTAGGGTTTCTCCAAATGTTGAAGTGGTGTGCATTGGGCTGTAAGAGTCATACTCTGCATTCAAAGAGTCTGGAGGATGGTGCCTTATTATAGCCTTTCCAAAACCAAAAATACATACGTAAAAGTGTAAGGAATGGACTAAATGGTGTGTGTAAATCTGCTCTAATTTCTTCCAAACTAGCTTACTGCCTACAGTAGGAACCCCACCCAGCATTACTCCCAAGAACAAGGATCACATCATCAACTAACTACATTAGTTTGTAGAGTTACAAGTTACGTAAAAAAAAAAAAAAAAAACATTTGCAACTAGCATACATACATACACTGTGTGGGCCCGTCCTGGAATCAATCAGTGTTTTCAAATAACTGAAGCTAACACTAGCTCAATTAGATGGTTGCTACAGCTGAATATGCCAGCTAAAATGACAGTCGCCACCTCGAAATGAGTCTCCAGTGGTAAATCTGCCCACTTTATCATTGCAAACAGCATTAAGTGTGTGATACTGGAAAGCATAGTAGCAACAGTCACTAGGTAGGGTGCATGTTAGTGAATAGTCAATTCTGTGTCAACAGCACTACATTTTGTTTTGAGGGTGTATTTAGTTGTCTTTAAGTGATTAAAAGAAGGTTTGCCATCGGAAGGAAAATTTAAGAGAAGAAGCTTGAGGCCAAGGAAATACTATTTATCTTTCTTTTTTTTCTCCTCGGAAAAACAGTAGTAAGAGTAATTCGTTTGTTTACTACTCAAGGACATTCACATCCCATCTTTTTTTTTTTTTTTTTTTTTACAGATTTGCTTTTTGATTAGCCCCCCTTTCCAATAATGCAGTTCTGTACTTGAGTATGCAAATTACCAGTTCAAACCCCAGCAGCTCTATTTGCCCAAAGAGAAGGGATGATATTCTGTTTTTTTGTGACAGTCCTCAAAAGCACACAGTATTTGCTTTTCTCAAAAATGCTTCCTCTGTCTAGCTTAAAGTAGTGGTTTGGCAATGATAAGTGATGCCAAAGTGACTGCTAGCCAGTTTTGACATTTAGATAGCTACCATACCGAGGGTCCAAATTACAGTGTTTGGGTGATCGAATACATTCAAAGAAAGTTCCCCTGATAATGTGCAGTGCAGTACAGAACACAGCAGCTACACATCATAAAACAGTCTGGATAATTAAATAATTAAATGATTGTTTCCTGATGAGCCTCTAGCTGCATTTCTAAACTGTCTGCACCGTCTGTCCTTACAAACTCTAATTACCTTTTCTCCCATCCAATTATACAACAAAAAAAAAACTCAGAAAAAGGGATCCTACAGTATGGTCTGGTTCACCTGGATAATCCCTCTAGTTCCTGTTGCATAAACACCCCCAGATATATCTCCTGTCACAAACACCACAGATGGCAGAGAGAGGACTTAATGAACTCAAGTTCTAGTTATCAAACTGCATTGCCCTACTTCATACTGCATGATCTCGGCATCTAACATGCTGCCCCCCTCATGTTATATGTAATGATGCCTCCAAAGCCTCTTCTCTTTGTGGGAGCTCTCAAATAATCAATACCTGCAATGAAGCAATGATTCTGCTTGGAGAACAAATCCCCTTTAATAAACATACATGAACATTAGATTTGAGTTAAATCAATACAACTGAAAACTTAAGGAGGAGGCTGGGGTGGAAAGAGCTGAGGCAGCAAGCAGTGTTGACATTGTAGATGTATTAAGGAGAACTAGATAAAGCGTTCAAAGATGGGACCGAGCCAGCTGACTTTCTGTTGGCTCCCAGCAAATATGAATGGGATAAAATTTAAACTTAAATTTAAAATGTAACCATTCAGCTCTTCTAGATGTTCCAAATGATTCTGAACTAAATGGATCAAATTCTTCATTCTTTTCTTATCACTGTGTATGGGAAAAGTATATCTTTGGGCCTGTGTGCATCATGCGCAATCCCCTAGGAAGTGCACCAAACTTTTTAGTCAGTTTGACATTGTGAAAGACACAGCTGTAAAATGGTGGTGTAACCACAGCAAAATTACTAATTTGACTATTTGAAATTGATCCATTCGGTCCACTAACAGTCTTGAAGAGCATCAAAATCAAATCCTTTTTCCCCAATTCACGTTAGTGGAGGGCTAAACCAGAAGTTACCTGGCTCGGCGGACGGAAGTCACAGTATGCGCTCCTCCGGATTTCTTTGCAATGGCTTCATGCACCACTGAGCGGCTTTCACAGGAAAGAATGGAGGCCCACCTCTGAAGCTGTATGGAGTTCTCCCTTAATACATACATGATGAACATGAAAGTTGCACATGACTTGGTTTGGGGCTTATCTCCATTTAGTTCGCAATTCAGGGTGGGGTCATTCATTCTGGAGAATGGTATTTGATTGTTCAGTCTCATTCCCAGGTCGTCAAATACCAGCACTTTGGAGTAAATGGGAAAAACAAACTAAAGTTGCTTGATGCGTTATTTGGTGGCATCCCAAAGCGTTGTTATGACATTGATGACCTGAGAATGAGTGTCAACAATGTCTCTAGAATGACTGACCCCACCTTTACCTAAAAGTGGTTCTAGCTTCGAGCTCAGTAAAGCGCACTGTGGGAGGTTTTCATTCAAGCTTTGATTGGACAGATGGATCGGCCATTGAAGACAGTTTGGCAGCAGTTTTCTAAGCAGCTTTGGTAAATGACAATCGGACTGCAGGCTCTAAAGCTATCGCACAAGTCCTTAACTAGTTACATAATCCACAAAAATACTAATTGAATGGATGGAGTGCAGTTCAGATCAGGCCAACAACAGCATCTGAAAGCTAAAGGTTTTTCTGAACACTCACAAAGCTACAACTCAGTGAGTACCTGCATAAAATATTTGTAGCTAAAGTTCATTTGAGGCGAGCCAACAATATCAAAAGGATGTCTGAGTATTATCCTCTGCAACAAAGCTAATTTTCGCACACAAATAAGTGATGATCGGGCTCACATGAACCCTGGCACTCTCATCAGAGTTAAATGCACATGACAGTTTAACTCTGTAGGGAAGATGTAATCAGGTGAAGTAACTTATCCGTGATGTGAGAGCAGGCATCACTGTGGTTGAAGATCAGTGTTATTGGCAGCACTCCCAGCACTGTCTCACCCACAAACCTACAGTGAGGGGAGCAGCTGTCCATCTAGGCTTAACTTTCCGATATATCACTGTCTGTAGAGGTGCAGGATTGTGTATTAATCTTCATTTTAACAGCAACTAAAGAGGCATTTGAGATATGAATGTTACAAGTAGAGGGAGTTGAAGGAAGGGAAATTGATAGAGGGATAAAAACAAGACAAAAGGCGAACTAGCCCTTTGAGCAGCCATTTCCTTGAATCAGCTCAACTGCAGCCGTGCTAAGAAACCTTGCTGTCTCATGTCAGCTCCGGCCTGTGATTCGTCTCTCTGTTGCTGGCTAATTGAAATCACAGCTCTGATAGGGTTTGAAGTGGAGCAGTTGGAGAGAATGTTTATCACTTCACGGGAAGACGTCCCAAATGGCAAGTCTAACTCTGCCTTTTTGCAAAGGTCACGGCAGTGGCAACACCTCAAAGTGCCCAGTCAGTCTGTCAATTTTAATGAACATCCTGACCTTAAACAATGAAAGCTGATCAGTCAGTCCGTGCATATTTTTCAAAGGAGTCGTCATACGTGCGTTGTCGGGGAAAAAGAAATGAAGGCGAGCTATTCATTGTTGACAATAAATCAACTCAGCAAAACAATTCTTCTTCAAAGTTGCTCAGCCTCTCTCATCTGGCCTCTGGAGAATTGTCTCTCTGGATAAAAATGTATCAAATATGACAAGCCCTTGTACTCATTTGCAGGTATTCAGACGTGGGTAAATTAATGCCAACAACAAAGTCAGGTTGTATTTCCCTCCTACACATTATGAATTTAACACATCCTATACTTGTACTTTTTGCAAAACAAGCCTATGTAGCAGTTGTTTTCTGTATTTCTACACTGAGTTTATTGAAGTTGTGCTCACAGTATGTTACTGAATTACTGAGCTGGAAAGCCTGAGGATGAGCTGATGTTAATCTCGTTTTGTACCACTACAACACACAAAAGGAAAAGTCCAGTTCTCATTTCTTATTTTGTGTTCAAACTACTATGAGACAGATATTGTTGTAATTGTAAATAAAGGTGTAGTTGTTAGAG